TCAGTTCAATCTTCTGTTGCGCTCTTTTGGGTGTACCATTGTACCACGGGGCGCGGCATATGTTATGGCACACGCTCCGCAATCAATCAACGCATCCGTTTTCCTGTGAGTGTGCCGTCGCGCCAAAGATTTGGCAATATGTTGCGCCACAGGTTGCGCCAATCCCCCTGCAAATCCAACTCGTCTGTTCCCTCAGAGGGGTGTACGATGTCGCTTTTGGTTGCGCTCTATGTTGTGCCAAAGGTGGCGCCGGATTCTTCACAATGTGTCAAGTCGTCAGTTGGTTGCACCATTCGGTTTGATTTCTGAATTCCCGAGAAAAACATTGAGGCATTCATCAGTTATTGAATTTGACGTTTCAGCCCAGTGTTGTCTTCTGTCCTTGAGCGAAGCGTTTGTTTTACGAATCACCCAAAACTAGCGCTGGACAAGGTTTGCGGAGGTCTGCGAGATGTATGTGTGTGTGTGTCGTATCTGCTTGGATGCTCATGGTCAGGCTCACGGTATGCTCAGGCATTGGAGTGCACGTCATTACACATCGATTGGGGACGTTTGAATCGAGCGATCCTTCCCAGTGTCCTTGTCGGCGTGGTGCTCTCTCACGTTGGAGTTCCCTGCGTGTCAAAAAATTCCGTGGTCGAAGTACAACCCTCGGTGCATTCAAGACCACCCGTCGTGTGTCAACGAAGTTGGGGGCCATGCGTGCGGGCTTCTGTTTGCGATTGGTATCGCGTCGGGTTGGCAATATATCGGATCTGCGCATGTAAGCTAACATTCGAAATTATGGCGAACAGTCTAACCCTGTTTGCGAACGCTTCAAACAGTGTTGGCTGCTGTGCATTGGTTCACTGGTGTATCGACTGCAGTTCTCGTCGGGCAATATGTTCAAGCATGCGCACGGGCGCTGATCACCCTCAGCCAACAAATCTGTTCAAATTGTACAACGCCTCAAGCGCGTACACCATCATCAAAAGCCCTCTTCTGCATTCGCGTGAGAAGGCTGATGCCTGAGCTGAGACCGGTGTTGCGAAAGCGACGCGCACGCGATCCCGAATGTATGTTGCGAAGTGTTCTGGGCAGTGTTGCCAGCTTGATCGGCCTTGCACCGTCTTCCAATTTGAGCGTTTGGACGCCCGAAATGGGTACGGAAAAAATGGGTACAATGCCCAACAACAAATGTTGTCCCAAACCAACAGCGGCCGCTGTTGGGCAGGTGGCCTCCTGCCTCGAACGGACACAGGCCGCGGCGGCGTGGACAGCGAGTCCTGTTCAGAAGGAGCACGAACTGCTGTTGGGCATTGTGCCCATTCTTTCCGTACCCATTTCGGGCGTCCAAAGAGCAGCCGCGAGCGGGCGCTGTGCCTTTGGGTCCCCAGCGGCCCGAGGCTCTCGAGGACGAGCCTCGGCCGCAGTGGCGAGTTCGATCGCGCACGGCGCTGCATGTTTCGTTGCTTCGTTGTGTTGGTGTTGACCGACTGTTCCTCAAGCAGAGGCGGAGCGTCCTGGCTCGCCTGTAGCCCTACCAACCAATGTTCTAAGAGCCTTGTGTGGCTTCCACGAGATGTTCTTAGAACATGTCTGGTGGAGATTGTCCTGTTTCGACACATCGGGCTTATGTTCTAAGAACATTGTTTTTGTTCCTCGAACATTTCTTGCGTTCTGAGAACATCTCGTCGTAGGACTCTAGGAATGCCGGGACGGTCGGTCCTTGCTAAAGTGCTTGCGCCCTCGCGACCTCGGCCGATCCGTGTTGTCGGGATCCAGATAACCCAGAGCATCACCCAGTAGCCTCTGTGGGACATTTTGGGGGGCGCCTGCAGTATAGATAGAGGGTCTTGAGAGATCCGTTGTGCTGCACAAGTCTGAACCGCCCTTACAACATGAACATAAGCGCAGCGTGATGACTCTCGCTGGGTTTTTGATCAAGATTGCACTGATTTTGTCGCAAGGGGTTAGATTGTCTCGGTGCTTCGCAACATCGAGACGGCATATCTTTGAGCTTATCGCCGCGAACGTGTTGCTTGCCATCTGCCGTCCACTGCAAAACTCATGCGCTAAGACAATTCGGCTAGTAGCACAGTGGTCCGCGCACCTCAGCATTTGTCAGCAGTTCTGTTCATATGTGGTCCTTGTGCTGGAGAAGCGCCGGCCAGTAAACATGCAATGACAATGCAGACTTGCGCAAACAAGCAACGCATACCTCACCACAACACAGCCTTGCTCGCAGCTTTTCGAAGACCCCGACATCCGTCGATGTGGCTTTTTCGGTCTGCGACCCCAGAGGTTGCGATCGCTTTTCCCGAAGGGTATCTCTTCGCCACAGATCCAGTTTTGAGTGTCCCGGCCCCGCCGAAAGCGGCGCCCGAGGGCCGAAGTTTATGGACATCCACCAGGGGTGGAAAACAAACGTCTGCACGAACGAAATGGGCATGGAAAGAATGGGTACAATGCCCAACAGCGGGTCCTGTTCATTTTGAACAGGACTCGCTGTCCAGGCCGCCGCGGCCTGTGTCCATTCGAGACAGAAGGCCGCTTGCCCAACAGCGGCCGCTGTTGGCTTGAGGTCAACATTTGTTGTTGGGCATTGTACCCATTCTTTCCATACCCATTTCGGTCGTCCAAAAACGCCGGGTTGGACAATCAGATCGTTGGAAAATCATATCGCAAGTTTGAGGTGCACATCGTTTGTCATCGGTGGTGCCTCAGAGTGCCCAGAGCCGAGGTGTCCGAGGGGCCCCTTGAATTCCATGGCATCGAACAGAGAGTGAGACCAGTGTTCCACTTTTGGATCATTGTTCCCTACCTAGGCTCTGCCTAGAAGGGATCTTACTCGCTTTGCTTAAAGTGGCGGGCAGTGTAACGCGCCCCGGGCGGTTCCCCCGGTCCCCTGGGAGCCAAGCAAAAGCAACAGCACAGGTAAAAGCAAACGTGCGGTTCCCCCAGTTGCACTCCCTGAGGGCCAAGCAAAAGCAAAAGCAAAGGCAACAGTAAAGGCGAAAGCGAAGGCAAAGCAAAACATACCATAGCATAGCATAGCATCGCGCAGCATAGCATAGCGCAGCATAGCATAGCATAGCCTAGCCCAGCCCAGCATAGCATTGCGCAGCATAGCATAGCATAGCAGAGCAGAGCATAGCAGAGCATAGCATAGCAGAGCATAGCACAGCATAGCATAGCGCAGCACAGCACAGCATCCATTATTGCTGCTGCAATATATATTTATATACAGCTCTATATATATATATATACATGTATACACATACATCTGTACTTATATGTGTGTGCGCATGTCTGTTCCATGCATGTTCTCCGTCTGTGGGCCATCTTGAGCCCTTAGTGGGGCAGCTTGATCCCTTAGGATCCCACGAAGGTTTCGCACATAGCACCGGCCGGGAGACATGAAACCCGACGATTATCGCATGTCCTAGATGTCTATCTACACATGCAAATATATGTGTATATCTACATAACACACAGGTGGAATGCTGCATGTGTGTGTGCGCGTGTGTGTTCATGTATTTGTTCAGCACCGCGTCGTAATGCCCTTCACCCTCGTTGCCGTTCAGCCTCAATTCCGTGACTCGCAGAGCCACGCAAGAACGTGCAGCAGTGTATTGCGTCATGCGGGCATTCTTACAGACCTCGAGTGGCGAGGCACGAGACCCAGCAAGCAGTGTTGAGCATCTTGCAGAGAACAATGTTCCAAGCAGGGCTGAACAACCTGCAGAGACGTTCAGTTCCATCGCGGCCGTGAATCGGTGGTTGACTGTGCAAGGTGCTGCGTGTAACACACCAGACTTTCAAAAACTGCGTGCGGCAGTTTCGGTGCTCACGAAGACGCCCAACCCTCGACAGGAAGAGGTCCCCCCTCTCTGCTCTTCATGGAATGTGCGACAGAAAGATCAGAGACGACGCCGGCCATTGGCGACTTTGATCACAGAGTCGCAGCAGGCGGTCATCACCGAAGGCAACATGTAGGGGTAAATGTAGATGTAGGTGTAGATGTAGATGGAGATGTGAGTTTCGCTGTTGATGTAGATGTAGATGCAGGTGGAGATGTCGATGTAGCTGTAGGTGTAGATGTAGATGTAGGTTTAGATGTAGATGTAGGTGTCGATGTAGATGCAGGTGTCGATATACATGTAGATGCAAAGATCTCTCCAGCGCCCCGCCCTCATCTCCGTGCCTGATTGCTTTTGCTGCTGTCCCGGCGACGTGCTGTCTGCTTTTGCTGCTGCTTCTCTTACGGCGTGGCGTCGGCGTATCTGGCGCCACTACTACTGCTACTGCTACCACTACTACTCTTACTACTACTACTACTACTACTACTACTACTACTACTACTACTACTACTACTACTACTACTACTACTACTACTACTACTACTACTACTACTACTACTACTACTACTAGCTCTAGCACTACTACCGCTAATGCTACAACTACGACGATGAAAGAAGGAGGAGGACGGCGTTCACCGCTCCTACTAATGTTGTTTTCCTACAGGCTCCAGCTCCTAGATAGGGTCGCACGGGGATAATTCACCAGTCGCCATGCGAGGTCACCGACCGGGATTTGAAGGTATGAAGATCTTGATGCCCAGGTCCCAATCAAGTCCGTTTGTTTTATAATTTCAAGGATCGCGTGGTTGTCCATTTCGTCTTCGAGGGGCAGGCCAGGACCCAACATACTTCCAACGCGTCCCTATCTCCTGGTTGTGCCAGCATTTTACCCGACCGATGGGTGAAGATCTTTCGACGCTTCGTCCTTCCCTGTGCGCAGGTCATCTGCCGTCATCGCCCGCGCATGTCCATAACCATTCTTCCATTGTCCGTGAACCACTGACCGTTCCCTTCCAAGATTGTTCCAGTCCGTGGCCGTTTGGCTCCAGGGCCGCCTGGTCCAATGTACTCAAAGAAACGCAGGAGCACCTCGCCCCCCCCGGGTGCGCCTTCAAGGTCCGGGCCGCCCTGCTGATCTCCGACCGGCAGGCGGCGGGCATGCCTCCCCGCCCCGTGCTGGCAGTGCATGTTTCTGCTGTGATGCGCCTCCTGGTGCTGCTGGGACCCGAACGCGCCGCCCGCGGCACGCTCGCGGAGGGCCCGCGCGACGCCCCCCGCTGGGGGGAGGTCCTGCCGCACGCTCTCCCGCAGCCGGCCCGAGGGCCAGCCAAGGCCACGCCGCGCGTGCGGACGGAGCTCCGGGGGAGAGAAGGGGGAGGGGGAGGAAGTGGAGGAGGAGGTGGAGGAGGAGGAGGAGGATGAGGAGGAGGAGGATGAGGAGGAAAGGAGCGGGGAGTGGGGAGGGAGGAGGAGGAGGAGAAGGAGGAGGAGTAGGAGGAGGAGGAGGAGAGGAGGGGGAGGACGAGGACGAGGACCGAGGCCGAGGACGCGGACGAGGACGAGGACGAGGGAGGAGGACGAGACGAGGAGGAGGAGGAGGGAGGCTCCTCGAGGAGGGGAGGAGCGAGGAGGAGGAGGAGGGGAGGAGGCGGAGATCAGGGGACGGAGAGGATGAGGAGAGCTGACGGAGGAGGAGGAGGAGGAGGAGTGGGAGGCGGAGGGGGAGGAGCGGAAAGGAGGCGGGGGAGTGGGAGGAGGAGGAGGGGCGGAGGAGGAGGAGAGGAGGAGGAGGAGGGAGGAGGGAAGGAGAGGAGGAGGAGGAGGAAGAGGAGGAGGAGGAGAGGGAGGAGAAGGGGGAGGGGGAGGAGGCGGGGGAGCGGGAGGTGGGCCCGGAAACGGCAGGCCCTTTTATTACCGTTTCCCCAAAAATGTCCTTTGAAAATGGAAACGGCAAAAAACCGGCGACCGGGAACAGCAACAAAAACGGTTCCAGGAGTGGAACCAGAGCCGGAACCGATCAAAAAATTGCGACGGAACCGGTAAACAACGGCGTCGGAACCGGCAACAAAAACGGCAAAACGGAACCGGTAAAAAAAACGGCCCTGTCGTTTCCGGGGCCCATTAAGCTCTGGTCAGTGCCTCCGATCCGGGCGCCAGCTTGGAGCACTGGGGGGAGGGGGAGGCGTTGACAGCTGAACGTGGCATGCGTGTTCGCTGATCTGTTCCGAGGCCCGTCGGTCGGAGGCGCTGCTGCCCTCGCCGCGGCGGCGGGTGCCCCGGCGGCCCTGGCGTCAGGTCGGGCCTGCCGCTCTGCAGGGGGAATACTGAAAGTTCAAAGAGAGCCAAAACATGGTACCCTGGCATCGCTCGGACGTGTGCGTTTTTTCCTCGGCGAGGACCATCAGGGAGCATCCTTGATCATTTGCCGAAAGAACCGCGCACGAAACCTACAAAAAACACAGGGAATTGACGTCCGAGCGGTGGCCAGGGTACGGGGACGACTTCTTTGACTATGTTTGGCAATTTTGGCGTATTTTGGTATATTCAAAGATAGTCAAAACATGGTACGGGGACGACCTCTTTGACTATGTTTGGCAATTTTGGTGCATTTGTCGAGTATTTTAAGCTTTTCGTGCAGAATCCCCCTGTATAGGGGACAGGCTCGACCTGACCCTGGCGGGCTGCGGGGAGGCAGGGCTCGTTTCGATTCCTCCGAGTCGATGCGCTTCGATTTTGATGGCCTGCGATTCCGAGTCGATGCGGTTTCGGACCCCGATCTCAGGGGAACGGGGAATGACATAAACAAAAAAAATCTGAGGCCCGCGCGGAGTTCTCGGGTCGGCGCTGGACCACCCTCCCTGGCGCGCGGAGCGCGCCAGGGGCCCAGCGCGGATCCGATAAATCCGCGCGGACCTCCGAGTATTTCTGCTTGTGTCATTGCTCGGTCCCCTGGATCTGTGCTCCGATGCCTCGACGGAGGCCCCCTGCGCCTGTCGCCCTCCGCCGAGTACTCGAGGCCTCCCCACTCGGCTGCCGGTTGCCGCCGGTCCGCTTCTCGCGTCGATCGCCGGTCCGACGGATCGACTCGATTCCGGGCTCGCCCGGGGAGGGGTCGGCACGGCTGCCCGGCAGCGTCCTGCCGCGCCGCGCGGAAGTCCGGTGCCGGCGCACGACGCCGTCAGACCTCCGCGGCCGCTCCGGTAGAGGGAAACAATTACTCCAGATTTCGTAATAAAAGGGAGGGGGTCTGGACCCTCCAAGACAAGCCATTTCAGACCTCCCCCGTGGGAGAACCCTCCAAAACATCGTCCCCAGACCCCCCAGGCCCTCCAAGATAGCCTGGAAGAGACCCCCCCCCGAAATGAGACCCCCCTCCCTTTATTCGAAATCTGGAGTACTGAGCTCGATCTCCCCCCCCCCCCGGAGCTGGTCTCCCTCCTCAGCACGTTCATGCCGCCTTTTCGCGACAGCTGGCACGAGGGTTGAGAGCAGCCGTCTGCTTTTGCGAGGCACCCCATTCGGTTCGTCGTGTTTGGGCTCTTGGTGCTTCCTCCCGGTTTCACAGGTACGGTAGAAGGACACAATTACTGAGCACTCCCCCTCCCCCCCAAAAACTCAATCTTTCTTCTCCTTTGGGTGTGTGTGCCTGGAGCGGTCCTGGGGTGGCGATCCTGGCGATGCGGTCTGATTTTTCCCAGCGGGTGGGTTCGCCTATGCGTGGTCTGGGGCCCTCACAGATCGATACGGCCAGAAGGACGGTGCCGAAAGACGGGGTCCAGGGTTCCGGTCGCGATTTTGAGCGATCATGCGTGTGTTTTGAGGCGTCGGATCTCAGGGTTGCCCGAAGGCTCGGTGCTCCTAGCTGCCCTGAGTCGTCCGTTTTTGAAGCGCCACGCGTGCCGTGTTCCAAAACGTCCGTGTTCACACGCTGCCTGTCGGCTCGACGTGTCGGCCCATGCTTTGGCGAACGTCTCGCGCCAAACGCACGTGTTCGAGCTGCGCCGTGGGGCTCCGCGGCAACGCGCGACGGGCTGCGTTTCGCGTGCTGCGGGGGCCTGTGCTCTCGAGAGGTCCAGAGCTGACCTGAGGACCACCTTTCACCACCCACCAAACCACCCCAACCCAACCCGAAGGCCCCAATTTGCCCTCCATTTCCAGTTTGGGGGGGGTCGGGGAACGTTGAGAAAACACACATGAAGCCCGTACCCCCCCCCCACCCGAAATTCGGGTCTTCGGGTTGGGTTGGGGTGGTCTGGTAGGTAGTCACCTTTGGGCTCGGGAGTGGCTCTGGCCTGTGGGCCGTGCGCGGGTGGCTTCCCCTCGGCGGCGCGTCGCCGACATTGGTTATCGGCGCCCCCAGGAGCTCGGCGCCCGCGCGGCGGCCGGGGCCGAGCTCGGCGTCGCCGCCGCGGTCGGCCTGGGCCCCGGGGGCACGGCGCGCCTCGCCGGGCCGGGAGGCGTGCCGGAGGAGTTGGGGGGGCCAGGCTATCTAAATAGATCTAAATAGATTTTTCCGATGTATTAAGACTTTTGGCAGGCTATCTATTCCAGACTAAGACTTAAGATTTTTGCCAGACTATCTAAATAGATCTTTCCGCTTTCTTTTGGCAGGCTATCTAAATAGATTTTTCCGATGTATTAAGACCTCTACGATCTAAGCTGGCATTTCCAGCTTTCGGATCTAGATAGACGGTTTTTTGTTCACGCATTGTCTTATCTAAATCGACGCCCCCAATTTCAACATCGTTTTTGAGGAGCCATCCTAAAAACGCAAGCCACTCCTAACCACTCCTCGAGAAAGAGGCGGCTGCACGCCAGGGTTCGCTTCGACTCTTCCGATTCGAGTCGATCTCGATGGCTCCCGATTCGGTTTCGGGTCGACTCGGGGCTCCGCTTCTGATTGCGAGTTTTCAGCGGATGCTTGCTCGCCTGCCGATTTCCGCCGAGTCGACTTCTTCCGACGCGGCTGTCGATTCCCGCTGGTCCGATCCATGTCGGTCGCCGATACGAGCGATTTATCGATTCGATTCTGGGCTCTCTTGCACGCAAGGGTAACCTTTCGCTGGAGTGACCTTTGGTGCGGGCACACTGGGATCCCCAGATGACCGAACGTGATGCGATAGCAGCCTGTTACCGCGGCCCCAAAGAGTCGCGCACCAAAGGTCACGCTCGCTAAGGGTCACTCTTGCGTGCAGCCGCGACTTGAGAAACGCAGAGACCCAAACCTCCGCCACGATCGCATGTCTTTTAGCCCGCGGCAGTTCCTCGACTTGGGCCCTCCGGGGCCGTTTTCGGACCTTGGGGCAGCCAAGATAGATCCAGAGGGAAGGTGTATCCCTGGGGATGATGTCCGGGCCTCTGGAGCCGCGGACGGACAAGCACCACGCGGGCGGATGCCAGGGGACCACCGTCACCGAGGACCCATCGGGAGGGTGCCGACCCCTGGGCGTGGCGTGCCCGAGCGTCACCCCAGTGTTGGACCACGCTCGGTCGTGTCACCGCTCAGGGGCGGATCCCCCCCGATGGATTCTCGGAAGTCATGGGACCCTTGAGTACCTTCGCAATTCACTTCTTGGGGTGCACAGGCGTCGATTAGCGTCTGGCCATCGGTGAGCCAGCGCCGATGCTTGCGTCCATTAGCTTCGATCCACGTGGATTTAGCGCCCAGTAGCGTCGTCGATCAGCTTCGACTCACGAGAGCCAACCAGATGGCACGGGAGGCTCCCGTGAGTTGCGGCAGAAGTCTTCGCGTCTCCTCTGAGGAGTGGCGGCTCTTCGACCCCGTGCGGGCTGGGAGCACCTCGTCCGTGGTGCGGCCCGACGGTGCCGTCGAGACACTGGTCAGAGCGTCCTCGGCGATCACGCTCGCCTCGCCTCTGGCGACCGCGTTGTGGAAGGGCGCGGGTCTGGCCAAGGTCTCGCCCGACGACTACGTGGTCCTCGGTGGCGGCGCCCGTCTTCCTTCCCTGTCCTCCTCCCTCACCCTCCTGCTCTTGCTTCTCGATCTCTTCCTCATGGTCCCGGGCGCCAGTGCGGTGCATCGGCGGAGCACGTGAGACAGCGGCGGCGCGGCCAGCCCCGCCCCACCCCCCCCATCCCCCAGGGCCCGAAGCTGCCCCCGAGAGCCGAAATTTGTCAACAACGCCAGTTGAAGAACTCATAACGTCGGAGATCTGGGTCGCTCCCCTCCCAGTGGGCCCTGGAAACGACAGGGCCGTTTTTTTTACCGGTTCCGTTTTGCCGTTTTTGTTGCCGGTTCCGAGCCGTTTTTTTACTGGTTCCGTCGCCGTTTTTTGACCGGTTCCGGCTCCGGCTCCAACCTTGGAGCGGTTTTTGTTGCCGCTTCCGGTCGCCGTTTTTTTTGCCGTTTCCATGTTCAAGGGACATGTTTTTGGAAACGGTGAAAAAACGGCCCTGCCGTTTTTGGGGCCCACTAAGTCCCCCCCCCCTCCCCTCCCCCCTCCATCCTCTGCCTCACGATACGCGGCCCCAGGCACCAAACCCGTCTCGGGTCCGGTGCCCACCGGGGCTGGGCGTCTCGGCCGGAGGTCTGCCCGCCACGATTCGGCAGCGAGCGGGGGGGGGGAAACTTCGAGGTTCGAGCTCCGAGTTTCGAATCGTTTTTCATAGTTTTCGGCCTCTGGGGGCTGTTTCGGGCCCTGGGACCCCCGAAACTCGTTCCGTTGTGAAAAACCGCGTCGGGTGGACCCTGGGAGGGGTCGAGGGACCGAAGGGAGAAGGAGAAGGCCTTCTCAGAGGGAGGGCGGGACTTCCCAACAGCCCTCGCGCCTTCTGAGGAGTTGTTTTGTGTCTTCTGGGGGAGTTGTTTTGCGTCTTCTGGGGAAGCTTAGAGAACTTCTCAGGACGCCCAGGGACTTCCGAGTCTTCTGAAAAGGCCCGCCCCTTCTTACTTCCCCCCTCCCCCGCTCGCCGCCTGATGACAGGGGGGGCATGCCTATCGAGAGGGTTTTCAGCCCACTTGGGAAACAGCGACAGGGCATGCCCCCCCCAAGGCGACGCGCCCCCTCCTCTTCCCCTCCCCTCCTCCATCTCCCCCCTCTCGCTCTCCTCCTCTCCCATCCCTCTCTCGTCCCTCACCTCTCCCTCCTGGTCCTCTCCCTCTTCTTCATTCCCCCGCTCCTTCTCTGCCACCCCCAGGTCCCCCCCCCCCGAGGAGAAGGAGGAGGAGGAGGAAGAGGAGCAGGAGGAGGAGGAGGAGGAGGAGGAGGAGGAGGACGACGAGGAGGAGGAGGAGGAGGAAGAGAAGGAGGAGAGGGAGAAGGAGGAGGAGGCGGAGAAGGAGGAGGAGGAGGAAGAGGTGGAGGAGGAGGAGGAGAAGGAGCAGGAGGAGGAGGGAGGAGGAGGAGGAGGAGGAGGAGGAGGAGGAGGAGAGGAGCAGGAGGGGGAGGAGCAGGAGGGGGAGGAGCAGCAGGGGGAGGAGGAGGAGGAGGAGGAGGGAGGAGGAGGAGGAGGAGGAGGAGAGCAGGAGGAGGATATGATGATGATGATGATGCTGATGATATGTGAATGATGATGAGGAGGAGGAGAGGAGGAGGAGAGGAGGAGGAGGAGGAGGAGGAGGAGGACCCCCCCCCCCCGCGGTGGCGCGTGCCCTGCCAGCGCCGCCGTGGCCAGCGCGGGCGAGTGTGGCGCGGCGGCGGCCGCCTTCGGGGTGGCCGCGGGCCGCTTCTGGCAGGTCAGCGCCAGCCACCTGCCCTCCGGGTGCTCGACGCGAGTGGGACGCCCGCTCCTCCTCCTCCTCCCTCCTCCTTCTCCTCCCCCTCCTCCTCCTCCTCTTCCTCGTCGCCCTCCTCCTCCTCCTCCGATGACGACGACGATATGATCTTTCCCAAGCGGGGTCTTTTCTTAGATTTGGGCCCTGGGGTCCACTGTTGGGGCCGGGGGGGCATTCAGGAACGGTTGTCTGGCGGGAAGACAAATTTTTGGGAAGCGGTCGGGGCCACGTGGGTTGCGGATTGAAATATCTCATCGGCGGACGTCAATGTTCCTGATCCATCCGTCCTCCTTTTCCTCCTCCTTTTCCGCCTTGTCCCCTTCTTTTCGCTCCCTCGTTACCCCCCCTTCCTCCCTCCTGGCTCCTCCTCATTTTTGACGTTGATCGGAGTTCATGCGCGGGGCACGCAGCTCTCTGAAATGGTGCAAGAAGAGGCTGGCTTAGGCCTAATACAAACAAGTTACGCATAGTTGGCGCAGCGGAAAATAGAAGGGCGCAAGGGCTAAGCGTGCCCGCAAGGGGCAAATAGTATGCGCCACCCAGGCGGTGAAATAGAGAAGGAGGTCGAAGCGCAATCATACATAATACTTTGGAAAGGCGAGCGACGAGGTGCCGATTGAGGGAGGAACGAAATACAAGTGCAGCAGTATACATGGAAAACACGCGACTCAAAATGTACGCTGCAGCATGTTTTTGCCTTGGTGCCCGATTCTCAGGCCCCGAGATCTCCATAGTTACCTCCCAATATTTGTGGGGCCATGCGGGCAGCGCTACAGTGAAGGGGCGCAGTGAGCGGCGCCGTGACGAGATCGTTGACGTGGACGCTGGAATCCCCCCCCACCCCCCGCACGAATTCCCAGAAATCCCTCTTCAATCAAGATGCAGGCACGAGTAGGAAACGTTGATTGCAGTCGGGCGACAGTAGATTTAAACGCAACCAGAGGAGAAGCGCACTGTGAGTAACTCTGAATTGGGTCCCGTTGTGTGGCCACGCCCTGATGCCCAGGGGGCCTGAAAGATGGCAGCCGAGTCTTCGATGAGGTAAACTGTAAGATAAAGTGCATGCACACCAAGCTATAACGAACAGGCTGGCCAGGTCGGTGTTGTCTGGCCATACGGAGTCGCCTTTGAAATGTCATTAACGCATTGTCCGGTCTCCTGTTAGCCAACTGTAGGCCCGCTCTTCGGCTGTTGGGTTGAGCGGTGCACTTCCACCGCATGAGAGAAGGGTTAGAGGTTAGACTGAGGTGCTCTAGTGTTGGCGTGCTGTATGTGATGTCGTCGCCGAAAGCATTGAAAGCTGAGTAGGCTGGCAAGGCGGTGCTGGCTGGCCTTGATCGGTTAAACTTGAACTGCTGATCCCCATTCACCAACATCACCTAACAAACCTGCGACCTTCCCTCCCCAGTAGACAGGCAAAGTGGTCAGAATATCGCACACCGCCAGCTCCCCATCAGTATCACGCTGCTGGGCCGGCTCTGCATTGCCGAGGGCAGTGGATCGGAGGAAGTTGGGGCGCTGCTCGGGTAAATCCAGGACGTCAGGTAAGGGGGCCCGGCTAGTAGCAGGGTCCCATCGCCCCTAAATTGGCCAGAGTCATTAAGCCGGGTCTGCCGTAGTTGGTGTTTTGTCGGGTGACGGCAGTTCCGGTTAGTGGAACGGGGCGGGGCGTCCCCCAATGCACATCATTAAACCAGGTATCTAAACTCAGTTCTGCCAGCGCCCGAGTTGCTAGGAAGTCCTGTATCTATATAGGAAGGATGAGGTGCACTAGTACTTGCATGCTGGATGGGGTGCCATGGCTTGGCACTGGAAGCGATTGCGGGCTGGCCAGGCTGTACTGGCTGGTCTTGGCTGTGCGAGTTAACAGTATCAGCATGGGCATGGCGGTGGCCGGAGACTGCCGGAAGGTGGTGCAGAGAATTGATAATGGTGGTCAGGGCAGAGAAACCGCTGCGCGCTCTGAGTGCCTAGCGGCGCTGGCGGAAAATTGTTGTGAAATCCATTGAAGCCCCGCGTGCGTGGGGCATTGATGCGTGACGGTTGAATGCCATCAGTCAGGTATCTATGCGAGCTAAACGTAGGAAGAGGCCATATGTTGATGCTTCCGTGCTGGCAGCCCCCACCTCCGCCGACAATGCCCCCAATGCAACCTTCCCCTGACAGCGAGCCTGGCAGCACGAGCAAGAAATAAATGCAGCAGCGCGGTTGTCGTAGAAGTGCACAAGCGTTTTAGTAGTCAGAAGTCCACGGCGGGCTTGCGGCGTCGGGGCCCCAGGGGCCCGCCGGGATGTTCGAAGGTCTTTTGCTCTCGGCTCCCCCATGGCCCCTCGGCTACTTTGGCCAGGCCCCATTTGGCTGCCTCGGCCGCGCGCGATGAACACAGGTGATTTTAGAATTAACGATTGCAGGGGGGAGTGATGGAAGGGGGCGTAGAGGAGAGGGGGTGAAAGGAACACAGAAGAAGCTGACGCGGCAATGTGTTTCCTGAAAAGCTACGGCCGAATCAGCCGACGCAGAGTCGCTGGTCAGCTACGGCGTGGATCCCCAAAAAGGGTCGATCAGCGTTGCGCCGTGACAGTTCTCGGGGGGGGGCGCAAACTCTGGCCGCCCCCGCCATTTGCAGGTGGCCTGGCTCAGTGTGCCCACCGTTCGCGTCGGCGGTCTCGAAGTCGGCGCCGTTGGCGTCGGCGTCGGTGCTGGTTCTGTCGGCGCCGCCGGCGCCAGCGTCGGCGTCGACCGTCGCGGGCGCGGCCGCTTCCGGAGCCGCGTCGCCGCCGCGCCCTGGGCCGCGCCGCCGCCGCCGCGCCCCGGGCCGCGCCGCCGGCGATTATTGTTTTTCCTAGGGCGTAGACCACGCTGGCGCCGTCTTCTTCGGTCGCCACGTGGACCGTCGCGGCGGCGACCGTTGCGTCCGCCATCGCGGGCCAGCCGCGGGCTAAATCGGCGGCCGGATGATGGCGCCAACCATTGGTTGGAGCTGGGATGGACGGTGGACTGACGACGGTGACGTCCACGGCTATCACTGGGGCCGCATCGGAACTACGTCGGGCCATTTTGCGCGATCTAACCGCTCGCAGGTGGAAGGGGTCGATTTGCGGAGCGCCGCCGGTTGTAGATGGCGCCGCGGAGGGAGGACACGTCTGCTAAGATGGAGGGGGCACGAAGGAGGGGGGTGCAGATGTGGAGGGGGATGGGCGATTCAGAGGAGCATGAAGTATTGATATTGACAGTTCTCAAGAGTTCCAGGTTTTCCCGTCCATCCGCGCGGGGCGACTGGTCGAGCGCGTTCCGTCGCGCAGGTTCTTCGCGCGATGTGCGCGGTGCATTTTCGCTCATCGGGGCGCCCTCGGAGATCCCAAGCTGCATTATGTTTTGCTTGTGGGGGGGCCGCGAGTCGCAGCTGCCGCTGCGCGATTTTTGGCGTCGCCGCTTCGGGTGCTGTTCGCGGGCGCAGGGCGCGGCGCGCGCCGCGCCTAGTCGCGCACGGCGCGGCGCGTGAATCAGCAGGTGGCGCCCGTCAAACCGCCCGGGAATTATTTCCGGAGTGCGGGGCGCTTCCGACAAGCGCAGTTTTTTGTTTTGCACAGGCGGTTCTGGAATTTTTCAAAAAGGAGTCCGGTCAGTTTCTAAAAATAGCCTCGAAGGGGTGGAATGCGCCCGCCGCGCAGGACATCTGAAGAATTCTGAAATCTGGAAATTGTCAAAATTGATCATGGAATGTCAAAATCGATTCCGGATTTTGTTAAATCAGTTCCAGGACTCCAGAAGTAGGCCAGACATTTTCATGGGCGTTCCTGGATTTGTTTTTCATCTGTGCCCTCGGAGAATGTTCCAGAGTCGCGCGCGATTTGCCATGCCAGGTCTTTGGGATCCGCCGAGGCGCGCAGCGCGCGGCGGCGGGCGACGGGGCGGCGCCCCCCCCCCCCCCCCCCCACACCCCACCCCGCACCCCCCCGCGCTCGGCAACGAGAAAAGGGATCAGCAAGTGCCAAATAGCCCCCCAATGGCGACTACTCGATTGCGCATTTGTGACCGACCAGTGGTGCCAGGCAGACTAGACAATACTCAGCGCAAAGTACACCCCGCGCGAAGTCTGTTAGAAATCCCGGAATCCCCGGAAAGCATCAATATCAAATTGTGCCAACAGATTTTCATCGCCCTAGCAATGATGTTTTGCCCTCTGCGCCCCAAAGAGCCGTGGCCGATGCAGCCGAAGAAATCCCGCGCTCCTACGCAGCGGGATCATCGTCGGCCTCAAAGGCAACGCCTCCTGCGTGTCCTCGTCGCCGCCCAGCGGCGCGTCGTCGCTGCAGGCGTCGACGCGCGTCGACGTCGCGGCCCGGGGCGCTCGACGACCCGGGCTTGTTATTGGACGTCTTCCGCGAGTCATCGTCTGGAAGCGGGTTGGGGTCCCGCGAGCAAGTAACATCTAGCCCTGGAGCATCGTCGGAGGTCACGCGCGTCGCAGGCGCGCGGGTCTTCGTCTGCGGCGAACGGCTGCGGCCGTTGAAAGGAGGCAGGCAGGCGCGGGCAGATGTCTTCGCCCAGTCGCCGACGTCGGCGCCGCAGGTCGCCGCCTGGCCCGGGTTGAACTTTACGAAAGTATCGCCTTTATGGATTGAGTCCCGCTTGGCCTTCATCTCCTTCTTGAACACATGGGTGAACTCTCGGTCGGCTGCCCGCCGCGCGTTTAGCGCCCGGACGCAGGGCTGCGATCATGGCCGCGTCGTTGAAGTCCTTGCCCGCGCGATCCTTGAACGCGCTGTCGCCCGCCAGGGCGCGCGGCGCCTCCGACGACGAGCGCGTCTTCGCAGCTGCTTCGCAACGAATATCATTCATGACGCCCTCCTGGTTCACGACGTGCTTCCCGTCGACGAGGTCGCGAGCGCCCGGGCCGATGAAAAAGAACAGAAATCGCGCCCTGCATGCCGGGTGGGGCTGGGCGCGATGAGAGCCGATGGGGTCGCAATGCTTGACAGAATTGCCACGCGACGCGATGATGCGCACTCGCTCATATTCAGACACATTCAGATTCATCATTGCAGACTCACTCGCAGCCAGACCCACTCATTGGTTGATTCAGATGTTTGGGCAACTATTTTGGAACAACATCACCGCAATATGCAGAAGTGGACGCGCAAACGCAAGAAATTCTCTTCGCGGGCCCATCTATGGCGAATGTGTTGCGATGGCCCCGAAAAGGCGATTTGCGCCACCTCTGGCGGTGAATCCGCGGCGAAGAGATTGCCAGGCGCATGCGTCTTCTTCAACGCTAGCCAATTGAAGCCTCCAAGCGTCCACTTGCAGCCGGGGGTGTACCTCAGCAGGTTCCGTATTCATTCGCAAAACGGAGCTCGCGCAATGCTGCTTTCGGTGCTCAACGACGTAGATATTTCCAAATGGTACGAGGGCATCATTTTGATACCAATGCCAGAACGACCGCCAATTTAAATGTCCAGGGGTGACTTCATTTCCCCCTTTTGATCGCCGATGCAGCGGGAAAGAAAGGGCCAGCGTTTCTTGGTTCGTGCACAGCAAAAACCTCAGCCTCGTAGGTCCGCACAGATTCCAGGCGATGCGTGACGAGGGCGGCGGCCACCTCTGGCGACCTGCAGGGTGCACCCACGAAAACACACTTGTCCTTGATAGCGCCTAGGAACTTGGACATTACATTGTCTTGCGCGCCCTAGCCAAGCTCAGCACCTTGTTTCTTGCGTTTGGCGGCGGCGCCTTGCCCAACAGCATGCGTAACCTCATGTGGTAGGAGGGTGTTTTCCGAATGTGCGTTCATTTGTTTGGCATTGGGGCATAGCTCGTTTTTCGCGTAGCTCTTGTCTTAGTTCAGCGACTGTCCGTTCTGACAGTCTTATGTGGGCTCTTTTGCTCGATGTGCGTCGACGCGCGCTGGTCGCCTTGTGCTCGGAATTGGTTGATTTGCGATTGGAATCTGAGTTCGTGAACAGCGAGACTCCGAATATGTTGGTGTCTGTGCTCGGTTTGGCTTCTTGTGTGCTCGGCGTCGCGTTGGGCTGTTTCCTCTAGCTGTGCTGCCGTCGCCATGCTTTCTTGCATTCGTAGCTATGCTTGCCGAAGTGGTTGTGTATGTTCGTGGATACCGTTGTAAACGTTGGGCAGTTTGTCGCTCGTTGCTTGAAGTTGTCGCATGGTCTCTGCTGTTGCATGCAGTTTTTTTGCAAATTTGCTGCATTGACTCTGGTTGTTTGGGCCGCTGTGAGCTATTAGAATGTCAAGTCGCCGGCTTGAAAGTATTCGGATTTTTTGGGGTAGTGACTGGAGCTTTTGTGTCCCTTCGTCCGTGTCAGTGTTGGGTGTGGGTGTTTCGAATGGGGTCAAAGGTGGTCGCCTACGTGGGTATGAGTTGAGTTGTGCGTCTTGTGCACGCGGTGCTTGTGATTGTTGGTTGGGTGTGCGTGTTGTCTGTGGCTCGATAGCCCCTTTGTTTCCCAAGCTTGCGTATGTTTTCATATGTGTGGTTGTTGCTTCTACTGTGCGTGCTTCAAGATTGTTGTTGAGATTGTTGCGCATGCTGCGTCGTCGTCGCTGCGCTTGCGTATGTGTTGCAGTTGTTTCTGCGTCTGGCAATTGGTCGAGTAGTTGCCTCTTCACGGCTGCCAGATCATGATGCATTTGTTTTGCATCTTGCACTGCGTTTTCACTTCCAGGATGTGTGTATCGAGCTTGTTGATTACGGCCGCCTTGAATGAACTACATGGTCTTATTTACAGGGTGTCTAGGTATGTCTTTGTGTGCAACGTCGTTGTGGTATGCTTCTGGTGTACTGCTGGTCCACAGACTGACTGTCTCGCGTGGTGTGCGCTGTGTGATCCAGGTTGCTGCCAAAACTGGGTTGTGGCGTGCACTCGTTGTGCTTCGTTGGTGTGGTCGGTTGTTGTTTTGTGTGGGGGGGCCTGGCGTAGTTGTGCGCCGCTGCTTTGGTGTGTGTGGCTGTTGTGTCCAGTATGGTGTTGTTGGCGCTGCTTGGGAATAGTTGTCGCCTTTTCTGCTGCTGGTATTGTGGTTGTGCTGCGTAGTAGGTCGGAGCCTGTTGAGCTGGATTGGCGTATCCCCTGCGCCCGACAGGCTGCAAAGATGGTCCTTTGCATTTGCCGTATGGTTGTTGCTGTTGGTTTTTTCCCCTTGCCTTTGCCTCTGGCCTGTGGGGCCTGAGTGTGGCCGTACATTGTGTCGGCTGTTTGTCTTGGTGGTGGTTGTGCGCTGTGATGGTGGTCGAGCAGAGTATGTGTTGCTTGTATATGTTGGTAGGTCGATTGGTTGAGTAGTGCGCGCGCTGATGCTACCCGTAGTAGTGTGCGTGCTGCAGTTGTATCTTATTTTTTCTTTGCGTTGCCAGGCAGGGTTGGAAGTTGACGTGGCCGTCGTGTGCTAGTCGGTGTAGACGTAGGACGTAGTCGTCGAAGCCGCGGTCGTGCGTGGTGGCCAAAGTGGGCCTGCAAGTGGTGCTGTGCCCATTTCCGAAGAGATACTTGACGGAGACGTGCGGCGTAACGCAAGAGATCAATCAATATGCAATATGTGAGACATGGGTGGTGCTTGGTATGAGAAATAGGATGTATGGTATGGGGAACGCAGGAGGCGTGTCCGACCTGGTGTCGGTCTGCGCACTGCTCTCCTCCCCCTCCTCCTCCTCCTCCTCCTCCTCCGCCCTCCTCCTCCTCCTCCCTCCTCCTCCTCCTCCTCCTCCTCCTCCTCCTCCTCCGCCTCCTCCTCCTCCTCCTCCTCCTCCTCCTCCTCCTCCGCCCTCCTCCTCCTCCTCCTCCTCCTCCTCCTCCTCCTCCTCTCCTCCTCCTCCTCCTCCTCCTCTTCCTCCTCCTCCTCCTCCCTCCTCCCTCCCCCTCCTCCCTTATCCTCCCCCTCCTCTTCCTCCACGTCAGCAGCCTGCTACGAAGGACGTGGCTTCGTCTGGAACACGAGCCCCAGCGGCAACGCTTCGGGCGGCGAGCTGGTCCCAGTCTGCCGCAGGGGATCCTCGGTGGGCGGCACCGCAATGAGAGCACGCCGGCGGGCCTTTTGGGGACCGGCCAGGGGTCGCCTCTTTTGCCCCCTTCATCCTGGCCCCCCTCATCTCGAGCAGTGGCGAAGCGTCTTGGCTTGCCTCTACGCCCATCAATCGGGACGACCGACATGGTTACGGAAAGAATGGGTACAATGCCCAACAGCAGTTCCTGTTCATTTTGAACAGGATTCGCTGTCCGCGCCGCCGCGGCCTGTTTCCATTTGAGACAGCAGGCCGCCTGCCCAACGGCGGCCGCTGTTGGTTTGGGGCAACATTTGTTGTTGGGCATTGCACCCATCTTTTTTGCACCTATTTCGGGCGTCCAATATCAAAGGATGTCATAAGGACATGTTTGTGGTTTGCGCGACGTGCTCCTAGAACACTTTTGGTTGAGACTGCCTCGTTCCAGAGCGCGGGGGGTAGATTCTGAGAACATCGCTTGTGCTCTTGGATTTTTGTTCGGTCCAAGGACACACTTGGGTAGGCTTATAGGAATGCCGGAACGGTCGGTCCCTGCTCAATCATCGGCGCCCCCAATACCGTAACCTTGCCGTTAGGCGGCCAGTCCATGTGCCCACCGGTCGGGCCACACGCAGAGTAGCTCCTGGCCAGAGTAACCTATCGGTGCGCATCGGGTGTGTCGGAGGTAGGAGAAGCGACGCCAACACCACCAGGGGGCCCACCTCCAGCGAGGAGGCCCACGATGGCTCCTCGCGCTGGAGGCTGAGGATGCCTCGAGCGAGAGGGGGGGCCACACCACCAGGAGGACGCCCCTTGCATCCTCGCATCTCCTCGCCCTGGTGGTGTTGGTGTCGCCGTTCCTTGTTCCTAGTGAGGGGGGGGGCTGGGATCGCTGGGTCGCCAACTTCGAAGTGCCCGTGCGTCGGCCACGCGCAGGAGCAAGCCCCGCGCTGGAGGCACCCTTTTGCGAGCGTGTGTTCTCTGTTTCGGGGCGGGGCGGGGCCGCGGGCTGCGTACAGTGGGGACCCATGCCAAGCAACACCCTGCTTGCCTCCAGGGTGGCCTGGGCTTCTTGGGTTTCGATGGTCCTGCCATGGAGGGCGCGACGCTCCCTCGCCAAGACTCCAGGGACGTCCTGGGGGCTCAGGGCTGGGCTCCCTGTGGAGGGTTCCTTGTGGTCGGGCTCCTACCGTATGGTGGGTAGGGCTCCTCCTCCTCCTCCTCCTCCCCCTCCTCCCCCCCTCCCCCTCCCCCTCCCCTCCCCTCCTCCTCCTCCTCCTCCCCCGCCTCCTCCTCCTCCTCCTCCTTCTCCTCCTCCTCCCTCCTCCTCCTCCTCCTCGGGGGGGGGGAGGGACGAGCCGAGACACGCTGGCCGCAGCTGCGCCGGCAGCAGATCGTGGGAGCTCCGTGTGCCCTCGCAGTGTCCGTCTTTCGTGCACTGGCGTCGGCCGGCGCCGGCGAGTCGACGAGGAAGTGCCGATCTCAGCGTCGCCGCACAGTTGGGGCGCTGAGGGAGGAACTCTTTTCGTTGGGGAGGGGCTCCGTGTTCCTGAATTGCTTCACCTCTTGCCTCGTGTTTTCCTCGGGTTTGCGACGGGAGGTCGAAGTTTAACCTCCGGAGAACGGGGGGCCTCGTTCCTGAGTTAGGGTTCTTTAGATCGGCGCCCCGACTGTAGCGTCGATCTCGGCTTAAGTCGGGCCTGTCCCTCTACAGGGGGAATGTTCAAGAATAGTCAAAAAATAGTCAGGGGACAATTTTTTGAGCATGCTTGGGCCTCTTCTGGGTATTTTTTGGTGGCATTCTTGATTTTTTGCCCCAAGATCCCTCTGTAGGGGGGACAGGCCCGACCTAAATCTCGGCGTCAGCTCGCAGGGATACGCAGGAAAGGCAGGCCGCCACTGCCGCCACCGCAGACCACCGATCGGCCGGCCGCGAGCCGGGGGCCACTCTCGCCCGGGGGGTCGCCTGCGGCGTGCGGCCGGCCCTCCCTCCTCCTCCTCCTCCTCCTCCTCCTCCCTCCTCCTCCTCCTCTCCTCCTCCTCCTCCTCCTCCTCCTCCTCCTCCTCCTCCTCCTCCTCCTCCTCCTCCTCCTCCTCCTCCCCTCCTCCTCCTCCTCCTCCTCCTCCTCCTCCTCCTCCTCCTCCTCCCCTCCCTCCTCCCTCCTCCCTCCTCCTCCTTCCTCCTCTTTCTCCTCCTCCCCTCCTACCTCCTCCCTCCTCCTCCTCCCTCCTCCTCCTCCGAGCGGGCCCAGCCATCCCGACGTCGTGGAGTCGCACGCCCTGCGCCCCCAGAGGTCGGAAGGGGAGAAGCGCACTGAGTCATCATGAATAGGGGAACGAAGAATGACACAACTAGGTGCACACACACACACACAAATCCCAGGATTCCTCACGTCTTGTCATCTGTGGTTGAGCTCGTCTTTCCCCCCCCACACTTCCCATATTTTCCCGTACTCTCCCGGGAACCGACGCTTCATTATTAGGGGAACAAGAAGTGACATAAACATGAAAAGTCGGAGGTCCGCGCGGACCTCCGAGTTTATGTCACTTCTTGTTCCCCTAATCATGAAGCGTCGGCTCCAGGGAGAGTACGGGAAAATAGGGGAAGTGGAAGTGGGGGGGGGGGGAAGACGCAACTCAACCACAGATGACAAGTTGTGGGGAATCCTGGGACGTGTGCGTGTGTGTGTGTGTGTGTGTGTGTGTGTGTGCATTTAGTTATGTGCCCCTGGGCCCCTTCGAGAAGTCTGGACCCTTTCCCTGGGACCGCCTCCTCCTCCCGAGCCGCTCCTCCGCGGCCTGCAGGGCCGGTCCAGGGCCCCCCCCCAGGGCCGAGAGAGCGGCCCGTCGGGACCCCTCCGCGGCGCGAGTACATGCAGCCACCACCCACCAAACCACCCCAACCCAACCCGAGGGCCCCGACGTGCCCTCCACTCCCAGTGGGGGGGGGCGTCGGGTTGGGGAGCGTCCCCGAGATCCTTGCGTCCCAATCTTTTCGAGCCGGGCGTTTTCGTTGGGTCAGGGGCCCCGGGGCCCTCACAGATCGATCCAGCTCGCAAAATTACGCCGAAAGATGGTGTCCAGGGCTCCAGGCGCCATTTGTTACGATGTTGAGATTTTTTTGTTCGCGCTGCGTCAGATCTCAGAGATGGAGCAAAAACGCCGATGGATCCCGTACCCCCCCCCCACCCGCAATTCGGGTCTTCAGGTTGGGTTGGGGTGGTCTGGTAGGCAGTTGCCGAGGGGGTCCCCGTCAGGGCGGCGCTGACCCGGCATCGCCTGCCCCGTCCCCGGCGCCCGCGGCCCTGGGCCACCTGGGCCACTCGGTGGTATGGCCGTCGGCGCCCCTGGTGTCCGGCGGGTGCCTGCCCGACGGGCAGGCGGCGGCCTTGCTGGGGAGCGTCGACGTCGACATCGTCGTCGTCGCCGCCGCCGCCGCCGCCGTCGTCGTCGTCGTCGTCGTCGCCGTCGTCGCTGTCGTCGTCGCCGTCGTCGTCGCCGGCGCCGTCGTCGTCGTCGCCGTCGTCGTCGCCGTCGTCGTCGTCGCCGCCGTCGTCGCCGTCGTCGTCGTCGTCGTCATCCTCGTCGTCCGACGGGCAGGCGACAGCCTCGCTGGGGAGCGTCGGCGTGACGTGCTGCGACAGCGGCACGCGCACCGCGACACGCCCGGGCTGCAGGCCTTGACTGGGCGCAGGCCCTTCAAAGTGTAAGTCGGGCCTGTCCCTCTATAGGGGAATATTCAAAAATAATCAAGAAATAGTCTGGGGACTGTTTTTTGAGTATGTTTGGGCATCTTTTGAATATTGTTGGGGTATTTTTAACGTTTCGTCCAGAATCCCTCTGTAGGGGGACAGGCCCGACCTAATTCAAAGTCCAGGCGGCGCCACATCGGCTACACGCGAGAGTGACCCTTCGCCCCAGACCCCCTCGAGCCGTGACAAAAATCACGACGGGGGGTTCTCCGTTTCTTTTGCCTCTCGCGGGAACCCTCACCAGGCCTGGAGGGAGCCAGCTTCCCAACCGATGGGAAGGGGACTCCTCGATGCTACAGCGTCGCGCCGATGCTGGCACAGCCCAGGCAAGTCGGCGAGAACGTGTGGAGGAGGAAGACGAGACGACACGACGAGGACGAGCCAAAAAAACGATTCGGTTTGAAAAGTCGGTCCCGTGGATTGGGTCGAGACCCTTGGTGGTCGACGTCGCGAAGAAATCATGATTCAGGAGGGAAAAAACACACAGACACAAGTAATCATCGACTCCCAGGAAAATATGGGAAAATATGGGCAGTGTGAGGGAAGACAGGAACCCAGAAAATATGGGAAGATATGGGGAATCCTTTTATTTGTGTGTATTTATGTGTGTGTGCCCCAGGGCCCTTTCAATGATGTCGGGGGTCTGGGGCCGTAGTGACCCTTCGTGCGGGCCCACGGGGAGCCCCCGCGATCGTGGAGCACGGTGCGATAACATTAAGTCGGGCGTGTCCCTTACAGCCGGAGGCGGACAGACCTCCCACCCTGACACGTCGATTGAGGAATTGGCCGTTTTCGGTTCGCGAGGGGGCGTCGCAGCCGTCATTTTTGCGGGTCCAGGTCCGTCGGTTTCGGTCCCAGGCTGTTTTCACTAAGGGCAGGTTTACGAAAGGGAGGTTTGTCCACCGCCGAGTATTCAAAAATCGTGCAGAAATAGTCTGGGGAAGATTTTTTGACTATTATTGAGCACTTGGGAGGTATTTTCGGAGTGTGTCTTATGCTTCGCCCAGAATCCCCCCTGCAGGGGGGCACGCCCGACTTCACGATAGCAGCGGCCTGCGCGATTGGCTTTGGCTCCTTCGCTCCCTCCCAGAGCCGGGCACCAAACGCCTGGCATCGCTCGGACGTGTGCATTTTTCCGTCGGCGAGGACCATCGAGGAGCATCCTTGATCATTTGGCGAAAAAGCCACGCACGGAACCAACGAAAAACACAGGGAATGGACGTCCGAGCGATGGCGAGATCGGCACCCTTGCCTGGGGTCACTCTTGCGTGTGGCCGACGTCGGCTGCAGGAGTGTGCAATCAGGCCACGGAGGGCCTCGTCCGCGAACAGGTTCCCCGACCTAGACCTGAGGGCCGTCCCTTCAAACCCGAGCCCCCCCCGAGCCAAGAGGGGTCCTCCTTGCAGTGCCTCGGCTGCGCACCGCCACCTTTCGCTCGTGTTCGCCGTCTTGGGCCTCCAGGGGGGGGCCCTCGTCGCCACGGCTGGATTGGTTTCGAAGCTCTGGTCAGACCACGCCCCGGGAGAGGTCTGGGGTCTAGTGGTACCCATACGCCTGGCATCGCTCGGACGTGTGCATTTTTTCTCGGCGAGGGCCATCGAGGAGCATCCTTGATCATTCGGCGAAAAAACCACGCACGAAACCGAAAAAAGCACAGGGAATGGACGTCCGAGCGATGGCCAGTACGGCTTTGTAGTTCCCCGAGGGTGACCCCTTCGCTGGAGTGCCCTTTTGGTGCCCGGGAGGCTCGTCGGAGTTTTCCCGGCCTCTCGGGGCATTCCAGGGGACCGCGGGGAGCCTTTGCCGGCACGGCCTCTTGTGCGGGCCCACAGGGCTCCCCCAGCATTGTGGGGGCCCAAAGAATATACACCACCACCACCACCACCACCACCACCACCACCACCACCACCACCACCACCACCACCCACGTCGATTCCTCCTCTCTCCTCTTTCCAGCGAGAGGCAGGGGGGGGAGGGAGGTGGTGGTGGCGGTGGTGTATGTTTCCAGGCTTCCCCCAGCATTGGCCTGCGCGGGGGGATTGGATCTGCCCCCCCCCACCCCATCGCGGCCCCCGAGAAAGCCGCGCGTTGCAGAGGCCGTCCCCCGCCCAGTGGGGCCGCTCGCCGCTCGTGGGCGGCCGCATCCACGCCTCCCAGGTGGGGTCGGAGCAGACAGGGTCGAAGGATCTCGCCGCGTCGCCGATGCGTCTCGATGCGAATGCTGATTTTCTCCACGCCGACGTCGCCGATGCATCGCCGGCGTTGCGGGTGCATCGCCAATGCATCCTCGATGCATCGCCGACGCATCGCCGATGCATCCTCGAGGCATCGCTGGACCCCATCCAGGAGGCCTCTACGACAGTGCGACGGCCTGACCTGCGAGGGGCGAGGCTCGTGACGGCCTGACCTCGAGGGTCTTCCGAGGGGGTCGCTCTGCGACCCCAGGGTCGGCAGCAAGTCATGGGAGCCTGGTCCACACCCTCTGCATCCCAGCTCTTGCGTCGACCAGCGTCGATTCGCGCCTTGGATCCGGCGGGGCAGCGCCGATTGGCTTCGGCCAGGCGCCGAGTACAGTCGGGGCCCTGAAGAAGGAACCCTTTTCGTTGGGGAGGGGCTCCGCGTTCCTTAAGTGTTTCACAGCTTGCCTCAGGCTTTCCTTAGGTCTTCGACAGGAAATCGAAGGTTAACTTATGGAAAATAGGGGCCTCGTTCCTTATTTAGGGTTCCTTAGGTCAACGCCCCGACTGTAGTCGATTCACCGTCGATTCAGCGTCGATTCGGCGCCGATTTGGCGGGACGGCCTGGCCTTCTGTTGAGGCCACCCCTCTGCCCGGCCACGGGAGGCCACCTCCCGGCCGATGGGGCGGCTCGGGGCGAGCCGCGGCGGCGGCCGGGGCTCGCCCCCCGGGGGCCCAGGATAGGGGGGGCCACATGCGAGCCCTAACCCCTACCCCCCACGAGTTTTGAGGGGGAGGGTGGGGTTCACTGTGTTCGAGGGCTCCCGAGCGAAGTGAACCCCACCCTCCCCCTCAAAAATCGTGGGGGGTAGGGGTTAGGGCTCGCATGTGGCCCCTACAGGATGGGCCCGGGCAGGGTCGGTGGACCGGGCAGGGTCGGTGTACTCGGGGGCGGCCAGGAGGGGGGTGATGGCTAGGGGGGGGGATGGATCTCATGGCGTGGGCCATGAGATTTCCCCAGATTTCATGGCGCCCTGTCTTGTTTCGTTGCGTCCCTGGCTCCCCCCCCACCCCCCGGGGCCGCGCACATGCCGCGGGCCATGAGTTGCGCCCCCCCCCTCTTAGACGCCCCCCTCTTGGCCGCCCCCGATATACGGTACAGTGGAACCCCATGTCAAGAAGCACCCTGTTTGCCTCCAGGGTGCCCTGGGTTTCTTGGTTCTCGACGGTCTTGCTACGGAAAGCGTGACGCTCCCACACCAAGAACGAGTGGGCGTCCTGGAATCTCAATCTTGGATGTTCGTGTGGAAGGTTTCTTGTGGTCGGGCTCCTACTGTTGGCTCGTTCGGTAGCAAATCATGGGAGACTGGTATACCCTCGTGCTTCCGTCGCAAGCGTTGACTAGCGTCGATGAGCGTCCCGGTGTCGATGGGATGGCGCCGATTTTGCGTCGGCTAGCGTCGATTAGCGTCGGCTTAGCGTCGATGAATGTCAACTGGCGTCGATTACCGTCGATGAGTGTCAACTAGCGTCGATTCGCAAGAGCCGACAAGATGGAGATGATATGGGAGGCTCCCATGAATTGCCACCGAAGGTTCGCGTCGTGTCGACTGGCGGCGACCCCGCCGCCGGCGTTCAACTTTGAACGCCGCTGGCGGCTCAGAATTGGCCGACGTTGAACGAGCTAAAGTTTTGGACACGGCCGATCCTTCAAGGTTGAAGGATCCCCATTGTGTCAGAAAGCAATGCCCAAGTCGGCACGACATGAACCTGCCGTACTCAGAGATCCGGTTTTCCTTCCCAGACCCCCTCGAGTCATGAAACAATCACGACGGAAGGTATTGTTCGCTATTCTCAGCCTTTGGGGCCTCTGAGCGGGCCCTCCAAAGACGACTCAGAATGTGAAAAGCAAGCCTTGGGGAATGGGTCGAGCACTCTTGGGGTCGGCGTTATGAAACATGGCGTCGGGGGTCTGGGCTTCTTGCATCATCAGCCTGACGCCGCCACGAGCTCGCGCCCGCGCCGCCTCGCTGATCGTCGTCGTCGTCCTCGTCGTCCTCGTCGTCCTCGTCGTCGTCGTCGTCGTCGTCGTCGTCGTCGTCCACGTGGTCGCTTGTCGTCGTCGTCGCCGTCATCGTCGTCGTTGTCGTCGTCGTCGTCGCTCGGCGTCGTCGTCGTCGTCGTCCTCGTCGTCGAGGCGTGGCTCCCCGGACCTCGCGGCCGCTCCCCAGCGGGCCCGCTCGTGACCACGACTGGGCGCGAACTCGTGGGGGCAAGATGCACGGGGGGGGGGGAGAAAGGTGCCTTACAATCGGGGCCCTGAAGAAGGAACCCTTTTCGTTGGGGAGGGGCTCCGCGTTCCTTAAGTGTTTCACAGCTCGCCTCAGGCTTTCCTGAGGTTTTCGACAGGAAATCGAAGGTTAACTTATGGAAAAAACGGGGCCTCGTTCCTTATTTAGGGTTCCTTAGGTCAACGCCCCGACTGCACTCGGGCCCCGACAGGTCCCCTCTGGGCTCCAAAAAGGGCCCCGTTGGGAGGCCCTCGCAGGCCCTGTGCTCTGCAGCCCTCGCTGCCCCCCCACTTTCGCACCCAGCCCGGCTCGTGTTTTGATTGCTTATGGGGCCCGCAACCGGCCCCTGCAGAGAGAATCGTGGTGAAAAGCGCGCCGTCCCGTGTTTTTTCTGCGGGAGGCACCAGTTCTCTTCCTCGCGTGCGGCTCGAGACAGAAGAACCGCGACCCCAGAGATGCCGACCGCTTCCCCGGGGACTTTCTGGCCTGGATGATTTTTTGATTGCCCTGGGGCCAGAATTTGTTAGGACCCCCAGACCGCTCACGGGACACATGGCTCATGATTCGGAAATCCGGATGGTCTCTAACATGTTGATGGTCATGGTGCCAGTTAATACCAAACATGTTGTGGTGTTGGGTCATCTTTTTGAAAGAGACAGCGCCCCGCGTCTTCTCCTCTCCTCCTCCCTCCTCCCATCCCTGCCTCCGCCCTCCGCACCCATTACGGCGTTCCGTGGCACCATGAGCAGTTCCACCGAAGGCCCTAGTGGGTCTTCGCATGCGTATGCCCCACCCAGCACAGCGCTTCGTGGCCCCATAAGCCATAGGGAGCTCCTCCAAAGGCTTCAGTGGCGGTGTTCGCATGCGTCTCCCCCACTCAGTACAGCACTTCGTGGGCCCATGGGGAGCTCCACCGAAGTCCTCAGTGGCGGTGTTCGCGCGTGTCTCCCCCACTCAGTACAGCGCTTCGTGGCCCCATGGGAAGCGCCACCGAAGGCCTCAGTGGCGATGTCCGCATGCGTCTCTCCAACTCAGTACAGCGCTCCGTTGCCCCATGGGAAGCTCCACCGAAGTCCCCAGTGGCGGTGTTCCCATGCGTCTCCCCAACCTAGCACAGCGCTTCGTGGGCCCATGGGGAGCTTCACCGAAGTCCGGAGAAGCGGTGTTCGCGCGTGTCTCCCCCACTCAGTACAGCGCTTCGTGGCCCCATAGGGAGCTCCACCGAAGGCCTCAGTGGCGATGTCCGCATGCGTCTCTCCAACTCAGTACAGCGCTTCGTGGCCCCATGGGAGCTCCACCGATGGCCCCAATGGCTGCCCCGTCCCATTGCGGCGCACCCCTCACACGTTTCCCGGCTCCGTATTGGGTTCCACCCAAAGCCCCAGTGGAAGAGCCCCCACGGCGGCCCCGCTCCATATTGGCACACCGTTCGCATGCTTCATGGCCCAATGATGAGATCCCTCGAAGGCGATACCCGCAACGACTGTATTCACAGCTGCATATGGGCGGGTCCTTCGCCAGGATTATGTTCTTCGATTTCGGCTCATCCATGGAGCCCGCTAACTGGTCCCATTGAGCCGAAATCTGAGAACATCGTCAGGATTCGACAATACACACCGTTGGAGATGTTATCTAGGCCTTCCAGATGGGGTCCGAGTAGATGGGGCCAGAGGATCGCGCCGCATCGCCGATGCGGCTCGATGTGGAGCCCGATGTTTGTCCAAGCCGACGGCACCAATACATCGCTGACGTCGACGACGCATCGGCGATGCATCGCCTATGCGCCTATGCGGCGCGATCCTCCGACCCCATGTGCTCAGATTCTCTCTAGGAGGCATCAAGTCTTGTCCCTGCCAAACTGATTGATTCCCTCGCCACGCACGTGTGAACCCCAGCCGGTATAACCCGACTGCGACCAGACCTGACGTAATGCCGCGTTCGTTGTTGTTTGTTCCCTGACCTTCAGCGGGTTGAGCATCATCTCGGACACCTTCCCCGACAGGATCATAAAAAGCGCAGTTTCGGAGCCAGGGTCTGAGTTTTCTTCACCTTTTGTGGTCTGCACGAAATTGTCCTAGAACGTTTCTGGCTGAGGCTGTCTTCTTTTCACGCCTCGGGTTCATTATCTAGGAGCCTGTTGCTGTTCTTAGAGCATGTTTGGACTTTACGAACATGTCGTGGCACAGTCTGGCCGCTGAACGAAGGAACGCTAAATAAGGAACGAAACCCCTTCTTGGCCCTGTAACCGCCTCCACTGGAGGAACCTAAGGAGCATCGATCCCCTTCCGAACCCACACTGCTCCTGATTTCAGCGCCTTGACTGTAGGCCCATAGGACTGCTTGGACGGTCGGTCCGTGCTCCACTAGGAGGAGGAGGAGGAGGAGGAGGAGGAGGAGGAGGAGGAGGAGGAGGGAGAGAGGGAGGAGAAGGAGGGGAGGAGGAGGAGGAGGAGGAGGGAGGAGGAAGGGAGGAGGAGGAGGAGGAGGGAGGAGGAGGGAGGAAGCCTCCGGAAGCCGGCGCAGCCCCGAGGTCGGGCCTGGGGTGGGCGGAGGCCCGAGCGGTCTGCGTGGCGGCGGGCATGGAGCTCTGCAGCGAGGCGGCCCTCCGGAGCCTGGGAATGCAGGTCCGGCGGTGGGGAAACTGGGACACTGGTCTCGAGTCCCCCTCCTCCTCCTCCTCCTCCTCCTCCTCCTCCTCCTCCTCCTCCTCCTCCTCCCCTCCTCCTCCTCCTCCTCCCCCTCCTTCCCCTCCCCTCCTCCCCCTCCTCTCCCCCTCCTCCCCCTCCTCCTCCTCCTTTTCCTTTCTCCTCCTCCTCCTCCTCCTCCTCCTCCTCTCTCTCCTCCTCCTCCTCCTCCTCCTCCTCCTCCTCTTCCTCCTCCTCCCCCTCCTCCTCCTCCTCCTCCTCTTCCTCCTCTCCCTCCTCCCCCATCCCCCTCCTCGTCCTCCTCCTCCTCCTCCTCCTCCTCCTCCTCCTCGTCCTCCTTCCTCCCCATTCGCCATCCGGAGCCTGGGGACGCGGGTCCAGCGGTGGGAAAATTGGAACATTGGTCTCGAGTCTCCTTCCTCCTCCGCCTCCTTCTCTCCAGGCCTCCCAGATGGGGTCCGAGTAGATGGGGTCGGAGGATCGCGCTGCATCGCCGATGCATTGGCGATGGGGCTCGATGTGGAGCCCGATTTTCTCCACGCCGATGTCGCCGAGGCATCGCCGACGTCGCTGATGCATCGCCGATGCATCGCCGATGCATCGGCGATACATCGGCGATGCGGCTCTCTCTTCCGATCGCATCTGCGCGGACCCCATCGAGGAGGCCTCTATTGTCCTCCTCCCCTCCTCCTCAGCATAAGCTTCGGGGGCTCTCTGGCCCAGAGCTGTAGCGGGCTCGAGGGGCTCTTTCGGCCGAGTGTCCTGCAGTCGATCCCCGCAGGCCGGGTGGATGGGTCGGGAGGCCTGTTCCCAAAATCTAACACGACCCCAACTTGACGGGGCGGGAACAACAAGGCTCATTTCGATTCCTCCGATTCGATTCGATTCGATTTCGATGGCCTCCGATTCAGTTCCGATTCGACTTTGGATTCCGATGCGGACGCCGATGCCTCGATGGAGGTCTACTAGCCTGCCGAGTTCTGCCGATTCGACTTCTCCCAACTCGGCCGCCGATTTCTGCCGATCCGATCCGTCTCGAATGCCGATCCGACTTGTCGATGCGAGTCTGGCCCCTCCCGGGAAGCAGCAGAATGAAGAGCTGGCCGTTTGGGCCCTGCTTCCCGGAGTTCCGAGCGATGTGCTCTTGCTTTCGGGTGTTGCTAGAAGTGCCCGTGGGTCAAGGTGCCCCCAGGATTCTCGGGGTGGCCCAAACGGCCTCCAAAGCACCCTTCACGAGGCCCAGAGGGCCCCAGGAGCTCCAAAGTGGAGCGAAAAGCTGGGGGCACCTTGGGCCAGGGGCACTTCTAGCAACACCCGATTCTTGGTCACGCCCAGCGTTTTTTCGCCCGGAGTCGGGGCCACCCGGGGCCATCCCGGCTCGACCCAGCCGGGAAGGAGCCGCGGGAAGCTCGGCTTCAGGGCTGTCCGGTCGCGATGTATCGCGGGGTCGGAGAGATTGTTCGCGACGTCGGATCTCGGGCTCCGCCTCCCTCTTCATCTCTCCTCACCTTTCCTCCCCTTCCCGCCCCCTCCTCCGTCGCCCTCCCCCATCCCTCCTCCTCGTCCGCCTCCTCCCTCTTGCTCCTCGTTCCGCCTCCACCGCCCACTCTTGACATTGAGCGGACTTTGGCAACGAAGCTGTAGCGCTCACCCCCCCCCCCCCTCGCCCGCTTCTCCTCCTCCTCCTCCTCCTCCTTCTCCTCCTCTTCCTCCTCCTCCTCCTTTTGGCGTTGCTCGGACATCAGGGCTTCCTCCTCCTCCTCCTCCTCCGCCCTCCTCTGCGCCTCTCCGCCCTCCTCCGCCCTCCTCAATTCCGGCTTTGGCGTCGAGTAGCTTCGAGTATTGTTTGATCATCATTGAGATAGCGCCGATGTAGCGTCGAGTGGCGTCGGCTAGCGTGGATGAGCGTCGACGTTGCGTCGATAAGCCGCCGATGAGCGTCGATGCGTCGATTGGCGCCAGCCAGCAAGATGGTATGGGAGGCCCCCGTGAGTTGCCACCGAAGTGGGTGCATCGTTCTCGTCCTGTGCCCAGGGTCGGTGCACGTGCCTCCCTGGCCGAGCCTGGAGGGTGTGTGAGCACCGATCCTGGGCGCAGGGTTGGCCTGGGCAGGCTCGGCGCGCGTGCGTACACGGCCGCTCGTCGTCGTCATCGTCGCCGTCGCCGTCGTCGTCGTCGTCGTCGCCGCCGTTCCCGTTGTCGTCGCCGCCGCCGCCGTCGTTGTCGTCGCCGTCGTCGTCGCAGCCTTCGTCGTCGTCGTCGCCGTTGTCGTCGCCGTTCTTCCCAGAGATGCCTGGGTTTGTCTGGGGTTGCCCGGGTGTGTGTCCTCGCAGGGCGAAAACGGCAGCTGCCTGGAGCTCGACCAGATGGCCATGTGGACCAGCGAGGATGCGGGGCCGCCCGCTGGGCAGGCCCATCCCTGGCGCCTCATCGCTGACCGCAGGTCTCTCTTTCACCGAGACTTGCAGTCGCACCTCCTCGTCCTGCTGCTTCAGCTCTTGCACCTCATCCACACTTCGCCTCCAGTTTCGTGCGCCTTAGATCGCCCCAGCTTCTCGACAGCGTTTCCTTGCATCCTGCGCATGCCGATCCATCTTCTGTTCGCTCACTGCTTGCTGGCACGAACTCGGATCAGATGGCGCGTGCGGACAGACCGAGCCACGCGCCGGTTCTGCGCCTTCGGAGAAGCCTGAGCAGATTTGGCCCGCTCGACTGCACGCAGTTTGCGACCCCTCGCCAGAGTGACCTTTGCTGCGGGCCCAACGGAGCCCCCCGATCGCTGAAGCCGGGCCGAACGAAAGGGGGGGTAGGGAAAGGGGGGGGTACGAAATCTGCTGCATGCAGCTGGTTTCGGCCTCGCCGCCGGGCTCATTCTTGGATACATGAGCGCCTCCCGGCGCCAGGAGGCGCCAGGAAAATCAGCTACGTGAGCTGATTCTCAAGCCCCTCCTTTGCTACCCCCCCCCTTTCGCCCGACCCGATGAAGGCGGTGCGATCGCGGCAGCTTGCGCGCCTGGCGGTGCCCCCCCGTGGCCGCGCACCAAGAGGGCCACTCCTGTCCAGGGTCGCTCCGGCGTGCAGCCGAGGCGGCGCGCCGGCGGCGGCTCCCTCCTCGTCCTCCCCCTCCTCCTCGTCCTCCTCCTCCTCCTCCTCCTCTCCTCCTCCTCCTCCTCCTCCCCCTCCCCCTCCTCCTCCTCCTCCTCCTCCTCCTCCTCCTCCTCCTCCTCCTCCTCCTCCTGCTCTCTCTCCTCCTCCCTCCTCCTCCTCCTCCTCCTCCCCCCTCCCTCCTTCCTCCTCCTCCTCCTCCTCCTCCTCCTCCCTCCTCCTCCTCCCTCTTCCTTCCCCTCCTCCCCTCCTCCTCCTCCTCCTCCTCCTCCTCCTACTCCTTTATTGCTCCTCCTCCTCCTCCTCCTCCTCCTTCCTCCTCCTCCTCTCCTCTCTCCCCCTCCTCCTCCCTCCCCTCCCTCCCTCCTCCTCTTCCTCCTCCTCCTCCTCCTGCTCGTGCTCCCCTCCTCCTCCTCCTCCTCCCTCCTCTCCCTCCTGTCCCTCCCCTCCTCTCCTCCCTCCTTCCTCCTCCTCCTCCTCCTCCTCCTCCTCCTCCTCCTCCTCCTCCTCCTCCTCCCCCCTCCCCTCCTTCCCCTCCTCCTCCTCCTCCTCCTCCTCCTCCTCCTCCCTCACAAAGGAGTGCGCCGTGGGCCAGGCCGTGGTGGCCCCGAGCGGCTCGGCCGCGGCCTCCCTCGCAGAGGCGGCGCGGTGGGGCCCCTCCGCGGGCGGCGGCTTCGTCGAGGCGGCGGCGGCGGCCGAGGGCACCTCGTGGATGAACCCCGCGATCTCGGTCGTCGGCCACGCGCAGAGGGGGGCAGGGGGAGGAGGAGGAGGAGGAGGAGGAGGAGGAGGAGGAGGAGGAGGAGGAGGAGGAGGAGGAGGAGGAGGAGATAACGAATCTTGCTGGCAGGGGGAGGGGGGAAGGCGTCTGAGAGGCTGCCTCTCAGAAGGCGCTCGCCCTCTATGAAGAGAGGTATGGAGATTGATGGCCAGCTCCCTCTAAGGAGCAACCTCCTTCTAGGAGGCCTTCCCCCCTCGCCCTGCCCCCCTTCTGCGCGCCGCCAAGGTCGGCTTCGCCATGCTCGTGCTGGCCACCTTCGGCGTGGGCGCGCAGTGCCTGCGCGCCCAGGGCCTGGCGCGGGGGGGCGGGGCGAGCGCGCCTCTGGCCGCGGCGGGGGGAGGACGCCCTGGAGGCCAGCAGAACACCCCCCCTCCCCTTGCCGGTTTCTCGGACGTGGGACGTGGGCGGGGGGGGCGAGGTTGCCAGGGAAGTGGCCCTCGATCAGGGAGCGAACCACGACGCAGCCATCAAAGCTCTGAGGTCCGCGCGGGGTCCTCAGATCGGCGCTGGGGCCCCCCTGGCGGTGCCCTCTGGCGCCGAAAGGGCCCCTAAGGGGCCCCTGACTGCCACCGCGGGCCCCAAAGCCTCTACCCTTGCCTCGTTCTCCCGGTTTGGGGCCTGGGCAGCCCTCGTCGTCACCGCTGGATTCGCCTCGAAATCTTCGTCAGAGAGCTCCCCAGGAGAGGACCGGGGAGTAGCGGAATCAGTACCGCGGGCCCAAAACGGTGCACGCATCGGGGGTACGTGAGAGGGTGATCTGCCCATGGTGGGGTCGGTGAGCAGTTCCAGGTTCAGGCTGGTGTTTCCCTGATCCTGGGACCGAACAGACGCCCCCCCCAACAAAGAGTCGGCGTCACCCCAACATGCTCATACTATATGCGCGTCGCCCCCCCCAGGGGCGACGCGCGCGCACCGAGAAATCTGCTAGTATATATGCGTCGTGGCGGGCGCTTCCTGGCCACACCGCTCGGGAAACGATCTACTACAAGATGGATGGACTGCATTCCGGATGCAACTCCGTGGAGGTCAAATTCTGTTTTCGCCCTGGTCCGAAATCTGGCTTTATCCGGCTTAATCCTGCTTAATCCGGTTTAATCCCGCTTAATCCCGCTTAATCCAGTGTAATCCGAGGCCCACTCCGGCATAACATCCTCCCAAATGGGGCTTAATCCTCCTGAATCTTTCCGACGAAAACCTCCCCGCAGTTGCCTCCTGACTGTCTGTTCGGGTCGGACGCGCGCCTCCAAGGCGGACATCTCGTGCCCGCATGTCTCTGTGCGCCCCGGCGAAGGCTGCGCGCCGCTGCACGCTGCGTGGCCCGCCCCACCCGGCAGGGATAGCACGCCCGAGCCGAGCCGCGAGCCGCGAGTTGCCCCGCCGCTGCGGGCCCTCGCGGGGCCTGCGCCCTCTGCGGGGCCTGCGACGGCCGGGCCGGGCCCCAGGGCTGATGTCATGAATCGAGCAGTGGCGAAGCGTCCTGGCTCGCCTACAGCCCTACCCAACAATGTTCTAAGAACTTGTTGTGGTTCCCACGCAATGTTTTCAGAACATTTCTGGCGGAGCCTGTCTTGCTTTATCACATCGGGCTTATGTTCTAAGAACATTGTTTTTGTTATTCGAACATTTTTGGATTCTAAGAACTTTTCGTGGTAGGACTATAGGAATGCCAGGACGGTCGGTCCCTGCTCAAATGTTGGGTGTTTCCCGATGCAAAAAATATTTGGTTTCCGAGTTGTTCGGTTTTTCTTTGCTAAGAATTTCTTGCGTCGCCGACGCGCTCCGATATCGAGCATTCGGCGTGCGGCTTGTGCGCAATTTTGCTTCGACGCGTCATTCGAGCGGCGTCGTTCGAACGGCAATCCGAACATCAGTGGTGTTTCGGGGCTGAAGAGACGGGGGCGGCATACAGGGGGGAGATGACTAGAGGGGGGTGGATACCATGGCGGGGGCCATGATATCTTCCCAGATCTCGTGGCGCCTCTTCTCATTGCGTTACGTCCCTGGCCCCCCGCTGGGCCGCGCACATGCCGCCGGTCATGATTTGCACCCCCCCCTTTTGGACACCCCCCTCTTGGCCGCGCCCGAAAGAGGCGGGGGTCAATGCAAACGGGGGTCAGCCAGGGCACCGGATCCTGCAGGATCCTGCGAAGACCCCCTCTGGCTGACCCGGGTCAGCGAGCCGCTCGTGGCCGCGAGGCAGCCGCGCATACTGGCTGACCCGGGCTTGCGAAGACCTGCGTTGCAGTTTTTTTTTCCTGCATTGCAGTCGTTTGGTTTCCTGCTGACCCGGGTCTGGATTGACCTGGGTCAGAAGATCCCCGAATGTCCGCGTCGTGGCGAACATCAGCACGGGAGGCTTTTCGTCGTTCTCGGCCTCTCGGGGCCCTCATCGGGCCCCAGGATTGTCAAACCACTGCTCGGGGTGAAGCACCGGTCGCAGGGAAAGGGCGGGGATTTCCCGGCGACCGCGCGTTGGAACAAGAATCGGACGTCGCATGTTTGAGGTTTTGTCCCCCCCCCCCCCAGGAGATGGCGTGAGCTCTGGGGCCACGCCTGCTGAGCCAGCGAGTGGTTGACCATTGAGCGTAACGCCTTGCAGGAGCCCGCTGCGACAGAAAGTACGGTATTCGAGCAGTGGCGAGGCGCCCCGGCTTGCCTGCAGCCTACAGGCCCACCAAAGAATGCTATAAGAGCCCCTTGTGGTTATCACGAAATGTTCTTATCTTGCTGAGGCCGCCTTGCCGCACGTAATCAGAATGAGGGGGCCGAACGGTCATTCATTGCCCCTTGGCGCGTGGCTGAAGTGAGGTTATGCGGTGCGTTTTGTTGTTGTTGCTGCTGCTGTTGTTGCTGTTGTTGCTGTTGTTGATGTTGCTTTTGTTGTTACTGTTGTTGTTGCTGTTGTTGTTGTTGGTGTTGTTGTTGTTGTTGGTGGTGTTAATGTTGTTGTTGTTGTTGTTGTTGGTGTTGATGGTGTTGGTGTTGGTGTTGGTGTTGTTGTTGTTGTTGTTGTTGTTGTTGTTGTTGTTGGTGTTGTTGTTGTTGTTGTTGTTGTTGTTGTTGTTGTTGTTGTTGTTGTGTTGTTGTTGTTGTTGTTGCTGTTGTTGTTGTTGTTGTTGTTGTTGCTGTTGTTGTTGTTGTTGTTGTTGTGTTTGTTGTTGGTGTTGGTGTTGGTGTTGATGTTGTTGTTGTTGTTGTTGAACTCTCATTCTTGAAGAATAATTATTGCTGATCCCCCCCACCGGTGCACATTGATTTTTTCGATTGAAGTGCCACCCCCGGGGCTCGCACCTTGTTTTTTCTCAAGGAAAGTCTTCCTGCTCAAACTGTGCCCCTGCCCCCCGGGCTACAACAACAACGGCTCCCGCCTGAGACTTCCTCGATTTTTACTCAGGACCCCCGCTCCCGCCTGAGACTTCCGCGCAATTTACTCAGGAAAGGCGCTCCCGTCTGAGACTTCCTCGCAATGTAATCAAGACCCCCGCTCCCGCCTGAGACTTCCGTGCAATTTACGTGGGAACGGCGCTCCCGCCTGAGACTTCTTCGAATTTTACTCAGGACCCCCGCTCCTGCTTGACATTTCCGCGCAATTGACTCAGGAACGGCGCTCCCGCCTGAGACTTCCTCGCAATTTAGTGAGGACCCCGCTCCCGCCTGAGACTTCCGTGCAATTTGCTCAGGAACGGCGCTCCCGCTTGAGACTTCCTCGCAACTTAGTCAGGGCCCCCGCTTCCGCCCGAGATTTCCTCACAATGTACTCAGGACTGCGCTCTCGCGTGCGACGTCCTCACAAATTATTCTGGAATTGCGTTTCGGCGCTCAGGAACCACGCACGCGCCAAGGACGCCTTCACAACGTGGTATCTTCCCTCTTCCTTCGTCCTTCCCCCTCCCCTTCCTCCCACTCTCCCTCGTTCTTCCCCTCCTCCTCTTGCAGGGCCCGCGCCAATTCCAATGGCGGGCAGAGAGATGTACGCCCCCGAAGGATTGTCCGCCCGTTCCGGTTTGCCCGTACGTCTAAGCCCGCCGGCCCCAGCAAAGAGAAATAATCCCCCCGAAAGGGGTGTGATCGAAGACGAAGAGGGCGGGTTTCGAGGGTGTAGGGTATACGTGTCGAATGACTCGCGGGCAAGTAAGAGCGTACAGCCTTAAAATGGTTGTTGTTGTTGTTGCTGTTGCTGTTGTTGTTGTTGTTGTTGTTGTTGTTGTTGCTGCTGTTGTTGTTGTTGTTGTTGTTGTTGCGCTGTTTTTCCTCTGTTGATGCGCTGTTGTTGCGTTTTTGTCGTCGCCCTCACCCGTGACCCGCATGCGGCACATCCCGCGACCTACCCCACGACCCACCCCGCGACCCACTCGGCGACCCACCCGCGACTCCCCCGCGCCCCCCCCGCGAGCAATCCACATTGCTTGAACGAAAAAATCTGCGTCTGCGGTCGGCTAGTTCCCAACCCTCCTTGTGTTGGGTATTCGTTTTGAAGAGAGCACTGTGGTATCCACCTTCCGCCCGCTATCCACCTCCCGCCCTCTCCTCTTCTCTCCTGCGGGGCTGCGATCTGCGCAACTGTCGCCACTTCGTGGTTTCCTGGGAGGCCCAGCGGAGGTACGTCCTACGCAAATCACTTTGAGGCCTCCCTGTCCCCTGCGGGGCTGCGATCTGCGCAACTGTCGCCACTTTCGTGGGTTCCTGGGAGGCCCAGCGGAGGTACGTCCTACGCAGATCACTTTGAGGCCTCCCTGTCCCCTGCGGGGCTGCGATCTGCGCAACTGTCGCCACTTTCGTGGGTTCCTGGGAGGCCCAGCGGAGGTACGTCTTACGCAGACCATTTTGAGGCCTCCCTGTCCCCTTAGCGCACCTGGCGCGCACCTGGCGCACTTGGCGCGCACCTGGCGTGCTGGGCGTACTTGACGCACGTGGCGCGCTGGGCGCACCTGGCGCGCACCTGGCGCACATGACGCACCTGGCGCACCTGGCGCGCACCTGGCGCGCACCTGGCGCGCACCTGGCGCGCTGGGCGAACCTGACGCACCTGACGCGCACCTGGCGCGCACCTGGCGCGCATGGCGCGCTGGGCGCACCTGACGCACCTGCCGCACCTGCCGCACCTGGCGCACCTGGCGCGCCTGGCGCGCCCGGTGCAACTGGCGCACCTGGCGCACCTGACGCGCACCTGGCGCACACCTGGCGCACACCTGGCACACCTGCTGCATCTGGCGCACCTGGCGCACTTGGCGCGTTGGGCGCACCTGGCGCACCTGCCACACCTAGCGCAGACCTGGCGCACCTGGCGCGCCTGTCGCACCTTGCGCACCTGGCGCGTACCTGGTGCACCTGGCGCGCTGGGAGCACCTGGCGCGTACCTGGTGCACCTGGCGCGCTGGGCGCACTTGACGCACCTGGCACACCTGGCGCACCTGGCGCACCTGGCGCGCCTGGCGCGCATGGCGCAACTGGCGCGCCTGGCGCAACTGGCGCAACTGGCGCACCTGGCGCGCCTGGCGCGCACCTGGCGCACACCTGGCGCACCTGGCGCACCTGGCGCATCTGGCGCACCTGGCGCACCTGGCACACCTGGCGCACCTGGCGTACCTGGCGCACCTGGCGCGCTAGGCGCACCTGACGCACACATGGCGCACACCTGGCGCACCTGGCGCACTTGGCGCGCCTGGCGCACTTGGCGCACCTGGCGCGCCTGGCGCGCCTGGCGCACCTGGCGCACCTGGCGCACCTGGCGCTCCTGGCGCCACTGGCGCACCTGGCGCACCTGGCGCGCCTGGCGCACGTGGCGCACGTGGCATACCTGGCGCAGCTGGCGCACCTGGCGCACCTGGCGCGCTGGGCGCACCCGGCGCCCCTGGCACACCGGGCGCACACCTGGCGCACACCTGGCGCACACTTGGCGCCTTTGGCGCGCCTGGCGCATCTGGCGCACCTGGCGCGCCTGGCGCGCCTGGCGCGCCTGGCGCACGTGGCGCACCCGACGCACGTGGCGCACCTGGCGCACCTGGCGCACCTGGCGCACCTGGCGCACCTGGCGCACCTGGCGCGCTTGGCGCGCTTGGTTCACCTGGCGCGCATGGGCTTTTGGGAGGCTCAGCGGAGGTACGTCCTACGCAGATCACCATTATACCATGGCGCCGAAATGTCCTTCGGTATTGAGTGGTCCTGAATGCAATCGCCACTTGTGTAGAAAGGGTTGGGTACGTCGCAGGATAATTGTACACTTTATACAAACTCGGCACCCGGCAGTTGCGATACGAGTGAGGGGGCGGCGGGGTCATCGGCAGTCTGTGAGGTTCTGAAGAAGCCCGCCACAGGTGCTAATTATTTCCTGGCGGAGATAAGTGAAATTCCGTGCCTTCCGAACTGCACTAGTTATATTGAATTGATTGAATTGGAAGGGCATTTTTGACAACACTTTTCATCCCGTTCGCGCGCAACCGCAACCGCAACTAGGCGACACATTTCATCCAGTTCGGGCGCAACCGCATCTGCAGCTAGGCGACACATTTCAACCAGCCCGCGGGCGCAACCGCAACCGCCATTAGGCGACACATTTCAACCCGCCCGCGGGCGCAACCGCAATCACAACCGCAACTAGGCGACTTCAACCCGCCCACGGGCGTGGGCGCAGTCGCAACCGCAATTAGGCGACACATTTCATCCCGCCCGCGGGCGCAACCGCAACCGCAACCGCAACTAGGCGACACATTTCAACCCAGGCGCGGGCGCAACCACAACCGCAACCGCAATTGGGCGACACATCTCAGACCTAGGCAAGGGCGCAACTGCAACTGCAACTAGGCGACACATTTCGACCCGCCCGCAGGCGCAACCGCAACCGCTAGGCGACACAATTCAACCCGCCCGCGGGCGCAACCGCAATCGCAACCGCAACTAGGCGAAACCCGCCCACGCAACCGCTTTGGGCGACACATTTCAACCAGCCCGCGAGCGCAACCGCAATTAGGCGACACACTTCTACAGGCCCGCGGGCGCAATCGCAACTGCAACTGCAAGTAGGCGACACGTTTCATCCCGCCCGCGGGCGCAACCGCAACCGCAAGCACACGTAGGCGACACATGTCGACCCGCCCGCGGGCGCCGGCGCAGCCGTAACCGTAATTGGCAACACATTGCACCCACGGTGGATTGTCTGTGCGGAGGATGGCGGGCGGGCAGAAGTCCACGGCAGAATTTTTGTGCGCGGGCATTCGCGCGTGAGCTGCCCGTGGAAGGTGGAGCGCCATCGCCCTTTTGCTCACTCGGTCTGCCGTGCGAGAGGCTCGCGTGAGCCACCGCGCAAGGTCACAGTGTCCTCGTGTCGAGTTCTCCTGTGCATGGCCGCTCACCCGCGGTTCTTCTGAAGAGGGTCGACCGCGCGGGCATTCGCGCGTGAGTTGCCCGTGGAAGGTGGCGCGTCAGCGCCCTCTTGTTCACGCGGAGGAGGAGGAGGAGGAGGAGGAGGAGGGGGAGGAGGAGGTGCAGGAGCACGAGGAAGATGAGGGCGAGGAGGAGGAGGAGGAGGAGGAGGAGGAGGAGGAGGAGGAGAAGGAGGAGGAGAGGGAGGAGGATGAGG